GTTCTCTTTATTTTACCGTTCAGTCGGAAGCAGTCGGGATGGGGGTGTTGAAACCATAAACAGAGCTACTTACGCACAGTACAGCACAGCATAAAAACACTCATAGAAATGCAAAATACACAAATAAAAAAAACCAAAATATTCTCAAGCAATAGTCACAAAGAAAGTAAGAGTTAATACTATAGTATAAAACATGTGATAGGAGGCACCATTCCTGTAAATTCCATGTAAATGCGTTACCTCACAGGAGTACATAGGAATACGTAAAAAATGTGGGACCTGAAAAAGAACACTGATCACGATGCAAGAATTATGAATGCACAAACACTTGAGTTTAGCTTTCCAAAGCGAGCAGAAATTAACATTCAGAGTAAAGGTAAACACATTCAAATACACAGACATCAGTTTCGAACTGGAATTTACACACAACGAAAACTACCGACAATTTCTATAACAAGCTTTTATACCTACGACTGTACAGAGACAAAAACTACCAAACAAAACAACCGCCTGTTCCTGACCATGCATTTGGCAATTTGATTAATACAAATCCAAACACCGAATGTTACATCAACATAAACACCACCCACATCTAACAGCACAACATCCAAAGAGTAACATTATGAGAAAAACACAAAAGGTGCACGCGCTCTGGAAAGATATTTAAACAAATCTTAACTGGTCCCTAAAAAAGACCGATAGTGCGTCAATTGAAACCCTAATTTCATAAGCATTTATCATAATCTGCTTTTTGTTATGTGGCCATTACAAACGAAAGCCGTACTGGTCAATTTTTTGGCTCGATCAGTTCGGCTTGGGCTCACAGGAGTTGTAATAATGTTAATACGCATATTATTATTCCAAGAGTGAGTGTAGGTCCAGCAAGGGAAATAACCGTGTAATTATTGCACTCAAACCAGAGTCCTCAAAAAAGTCGACAGCAAACAGTGCTCGACATCACTGTACCTTTTTAAGTTAAACTGGAGGATTTCTCAAAATTTAACAGATCAGCAATCTACTTTTTAAAGCAAAACGGTGTTTCAAGAAACCTATACAAAGAAACAAAACAGCACGCAAAAGGAACATAAACCACACTTCCACACTTCACTGAAACGAAACCTGAATGTGAACACAAGTGCAGGGGGTAATATACGTTGGGGTTCTGTACCTTTTTTTAAAAATCAAGTTATAAAACCTCGAGATTATAGTTTAACAAATGTAGGTGGGTGGGAGTGTTGTTAGGGGAGAGAGCGAGATAAAAATAAAGAAGGCGAGAGACAGAATATGGGTGTGTGTGTGTGTGTGTGTGAGTGTGTGT